ATGGAGTGGATTCAGGAATATCCCTTTTGTAGCTAGATACCCAAGACGTTGCTTCAGAAGAACAAGGCTGCAAAGCAATTCTTTTCCATCTGCACCTGGSAGTTTTACAAGTTGATGTTTACCACCCAGCCACTACAGCTGAATCCTAGCCTTTCAAAAGGTAAAACAGCACAATATGTATTCTGATTTATAATAGAACATATATGCTGACACATGAGATTGCAAAAATTGTTGTACAGAAAGAATCGGATGCCTTATTGCTGAACTTGTTCTGTGCTTCAATCATTTATACACAGCTCATTTTCATATTCTTACTTCTGTCTAGCAAAAACAGAGACTGGGATCCTGACCCCATGTTATTTTACAGAACAATTACAGGAGCATGCATAACTTGATTGGTTGTCATAAATCTGTTTTAAATTATCYAAGCTTTTGGTATTGAAGGTTTTGGAATAAGGTGCATGGAATGGTAAAGGAATAAAGATCACTTGAAAAGTGATATGTAAAGTAAGCAGTATTGCAAATGTCTTTTTCAAGTCACAGGCATGTATCACTGCTTTCATCAGATACCTTTATATTGTAATTACATCTTTAGTTGAAGTCCATCTTGGGAGCCATCTGACTGCARCGTACCAGATCTAAGAAATTAATGTCACTAGCGAAAAACCGAAATTTCAGCTTTTGTTTTGTAAAGAATTCATACCAGGGGAATGCAAAAATTGTTGTGTTTATAATTAAATGGATGTGGTAAATTGTGTTATTGTATTGCATTGAATAAAAGCTGATTGTTGGACTCAAAAATCTCAATATGAAAACCTCACTAGCTGTACCRTCCACAATTAAGGTTATCTTGTCTTAGGCCTTCAGTGATACTCTTGCTGGTGCTCAGGGAGCGATGAAAAATTTCCACAACTCTGAACACAGACAAAACAAAGAAAGGAATAAGTATGGAGTAACGAAGATAGTCACCACTGAGTGGTCTATTAAAGAAGTTGCAACTGGCAGAAAGAAGGCTGGAACACAGACAAAGGTACAGAATGGTAGCACAAATTGGATGACTAAAATCTATAGAAAATTTTGATCTCCATAATCTCTGTACCTATAAAGTGAAGAAATGCCTTGCCCCRTCTTCTATCCTTTCAAGTACATTATGTGATGAATCCAGCATAAAACTTGGCTGTTAAATAAAATCCTGTAGAAAATACCTGGCTGCAGTACTGAGTATAAATAATGTRCAATAAATAAAAAATGAAAGGGTGGCATCAAAGAAAAGAAAAAGCAGCAGAACACAGAAGCACCGTTCCTTTGGGCACCAAGTCAGGCATTATATTAGAAATGTCTGCTCTGTACTATATTTATTTTACCACTGTTTGAAATTATTCCTTTCCTTGAGTTATTGCAATTAAAAGAACAGGGAGATTTTTCACTTGTCCTTCCTTAAGCAGTATACTTATTCTGAAATTTTTATCCCCTCAGCTGTGCTAAGTAAACAGTTCAAGAAAATCTAACTTTTCACTTTAATTTCCCTGTCTCCTCTCTAGCTTCTTTTATTGCAGTTCTGGAAAGGAAAAATTCCACAYCCAGCTTGCCAGGAAAGTGATGCCTCAGCACACCCACACCAAGCTCCAGCCACTACACCAGATGGGAATTTAACTGGCAGTATGATCTGGCTCAAGGTTTTCAGTGCAGGGTGACTGAATTCCCATATCAYGTGTGAGCTCATGTCAAGGTTAAATGTACCAGACTTAGAAGGAACAGAAGTAGAGCAGATGGGCAAGCAGAAAGTCTGCTTGTCATGGTTTTATGCTAGCTTTGGTTCACTGTGAGAAAGCATGGCACACACAATGAATGTGACTTGTGACCAGAGTTTAAGACAGTGACACTATTATTGTGGCTCCATTCTGAATTCTTTCYTAAAATCCTACAACAAAGAATCCAGAAAGAACTAGGGAATGAAAACTGTACACCCTTTCTAAACAAAAT